TAAATCAGTGATGAGTCTTGTTCATAATGGCGTCCACCAAGACTTAGGCTATCATATAATATCACAATACAAATCTTTGCAAAGTTTATAATTCATCGCATTATCATGCGTGACGGACTATCAAATCGATATCCTAAAAGTGTACACGTCTTATTAGTCTCATTGCATCAACGTGCGGGACGAACTACCAAATTAGGCATCCTAGGTATACGGCTCACAAGCCTCATCGCATCTACGTGCGGGACGGTCTACTAGATCAAGCATCCTAAAACCCGACTCAATGGCCTGTACTAATGGTACATCGACGCACTATCCCAATTAGTTCTGAGCGGTGCTCATCAACGATATTCATACATGTATATAATATTTAAATAACTCATATCTCCCATGTAATCAAAACAATACTTGTATTAATCCTCTTTGAGATACCCATGTGTGTGCTATGATACTATACGTGTATCCTCATGATTGTATGGGTATCATCATGCGCCTAGAATCCCGCATTCGAAAACAAAAGGTTTAAAAGCAACACTTCAAACAAAAGAGAACACAGGTCGGTCGATCGCCCTTAGGGCGTCGGTCGACCGAAAGCAACCGTGCACACAATATGCACGCTCAGAGCCTCACCGGTCGCCTGGTTAGTCTTGGTCAGTCGACAGGCCAGAGAGGAAAACACAAGTTCAGGTTTCTGATAGTTTGTATTTTGTAACTTTATTTAAAAACTTTTTTTATCAACACGAGGCATATAACAAGATTAAATCTTTCATAATTACTTAACAGAAATTGACTCATCATGATATAAACAATTGAATTAAACTAATTAGGGTTTAACATCCTAATTGATCAAAATTTCTAAAATAATCTACTTTATAAATATGGTTAATTAAACATGATAAATTCTAAACATTGAATAGAGATAAATTCATTTAAACATGCTCACATCACTTAGGTATCATCAACCTAGGGTTTAGACCTCTTTAATTAGCAAGAAAACTCAAATAATTATTAAACTATGGTTTAAATATATTTTAATCATGATTAACAAGTTAAAAATAAAAATAAATACAACCCTAATGAACATGATCATCAAACTAATATAAACAGCAACTAAAACTACAGATTTTCACATTGGTTTAAAGATTAACGTCATAAACTAAGATTTTAAAATATCGGGTTAAGCTTAAACATGAGATTCATCAATTGAACATATTAAATCTTTAATTAACTATAGGGAAAGATTTGGAGGAAGATGATCTTGCCTCAAACGTCGTGTTAAACTCCTGAACACGTGCGTGCAAGATCCCTCTTCACCAAAGTCGTAAAATCTCGCCTTCCTCTCGACAAACGCCTCAAGAACTCTCCAAAATCTCACAAATTATGATTAGGGTTTGAGAGAGAGGGTGAGGGGCTACTAGTGTTCTGAAATACTGATGAAAAAATGTATTTTTTGTATGTAAACATGTATATATATAACTGCAAACCCGAAACAAAACAGTCCAAACCCGAAACTAGAAACCTAGTCACACTGGGAAAATAGTCTTTAGTATTTTGGCTATAACTTTCACGTACAATCTTAGAATAAGGTGATTTAAGATGTGTTGGAAATCTATTGAAGATACCTACAACTTTTGTCTTTTTAGTTTTTTAGATTCAAACTGTATCGGTGTGTAATATAGATATATTCTTAACTAGTCATTTTTTCAGATTTCTTCTTTGTGCATGTTTAACCTTTGTATACTCTCATGTATACTCTTAATTGATCTCTAATCAATTATTAGCATAATCATTCATCTATAAATGATATTCATCATAATTAAAGCTTATTTATCAATATAATTCATACTATTTTCCAAAATCCATAGGGTTTTACATTCACCTCCCCCCCCCCCCCCCCCCCTAAAAGAATTTCATCCTCAAAATTTCGCAATCGTATCTTAGAGATTAATAATATGAAAAAGGTACGATGAAGGAATAATCCAGATAAGAAAACCCTCCCGTACACATCTCATAACATTAATCCCCAGATATGAAACATAAGCGATATTTACACTTAATAATCTAGAATGCAAACTTCTACTTAACTCCTAACTAAACTGAACTAGTACGTCGAGCAAAAAATCTAAACAAGGAACCCCCCCATATATATATTCCGTGAGCCCTTGGATTTAACGAGCGGCTCACGTTCATTTCAGAAACCCAAAAAACTCCCGTGACCTCAAATCCGCCTCCCTCTTCTAAATCTCGTCTCCTTCTCTCAGCTCAAATCTCCCTCTCTCTCCTCAAACCCTCCTCCCTCTCTCCCCCTCGTGGAGCCCTCTCGCTCGTGAAACCCATTTTCAACGCCGCCGACCATCTCCTCAAACCCTCCCCTCCCTCTCTCGCTCGTGACCCCAAGCACCGCCGCCGACCAACTCCGCCTCCCGCCGCCGACCAACTCCGACTCCGACCCCGACCAACTCCGACTCCGACCTCCTCCTCCAACTTCGGATCCGACCCAGGACGTGAGCCGACTCCGACCTCCGACCTCCAACTTCGGAGCCGACTCCGGACGTGAGACACTCTCTCTCACTTGGAACCAAAGGGAGCTTGAATCAAATTTGTTTGTAGGTAAAATTTTAATTTTACTTTTTAAGATTGAGGGTTCTTGTTGTTTAATGAGTTATACATGATTATGATGGTTGATGCTTGTTGGATTTTAGTCAAAATTGCTTGTTGGATTTTTTATTGTCCTCTCAAAAGCCGAATTTTTTTGAGTACTTTACTGAGATATACATGAATATGTTGGCTGGTGTTCTACATTCTCCCTTAGTTCTTCATGTTCCTATGTCCTGATGTGTTTTCTGAGAATGCTATGTTTTGAGTACTCAAACTGTAGCTATATGCTTCTTTTAATAATGCTATGTTTTGAGAATGCTATGTTTTGAGTTTAAATATCAGTAGTAAGTAAATATATATTTTGAAGTTAGAAACATGTTTATTTTTTTATGGAGAACTCAAACTGTAGCTATATATATTTTGAGAATGCTATCATGTTCCTATGTCCGAAGCTTATGGAGAACTCAAACTGTAGCTATATGCTTCTTTTAATAATGCTATCATGGCTGCTAAATTTGAATCCTTCTATGGTTGAGTTTGGTTATATCATGCCCGTGCTTTCATTTTTTATAGTTTAGGTGGTTGCCTTGTATATGAATGTGTGGATTGCGTTTAACAGCATATAAATTCAAGTTGGATTATTCATTGACCTTTCAAGTTAGAATAGTGTTTATTTTTTTGCACAGTGGTTTTTGATGGTTTGTTCTTGATGTTTGTTCTTGATGTTTATTTTTGTAGGTAAAAATTATTCTTGATGTTTGATCCAATGAAAACTGAAGATGGTTGCTCCCATATTGTTGATGAAAAAATCTCTCAATTAGATAACTTAGTTGTACCAATTGTTGATGAGCACTTAAAACCAAAAATAGGAATGACTTTCGACAATTTAGAAGAAGCTAAAAAATTCTACAGAAATTACGGAAAGGTCGGAGGTTTTGATATCCGTAATAGCACAGCAAATTATGGGAAGGATAGAGAGTTAATTTGCAAAAGTTATGTTTGTTCGAAGGAAGGAGTGTTAAAGAGCAAATCGTTGGAAATTCGACGATGTGGTACAATTAGAACAAATTGTAAGGCCTTGATTCGCTTGAAATTAGACAAAAACAATGGCATATGGAGTGTCTACAAGTTCGTGGAAGAACATAATCATACAATTACTTCACCGAGTAGAACATATTTTCTAAGGAGAAACCGTGAGGTAACAAGTGCGAAGAAGACATTGATAAAGCAGTTTGGAGAGGTGAACATTCCAACAAACAAGCAAATGACCTTCTTTGAAAACTCTAGCGGAGGTTTTCATAGAATCGGATGCATTGAGACCGATGTGAGAAATTATGAAAGAGATTTGAGAGAGGAGAGGCGCGGTCATGATGCACAAATGATGTTGTATCATTTCAAGTCGGAACAAGAGAAGAATCCTTCATTTCATTATGTTTATGAAGTTGATGAAGAGAAGCACTTAACTCATTGTTTTTGGGTGGATGGCATTGCTCGAATGAATTATCAACACTTTGGCGATGTTGTCTCCTTCGATGCCACGCATAACACAAATCAATATGGCTTGGTATTTGTGCCGTTTGTAGGAGTAAATCACCATTGGCAAAGTATTTTTTTAGGATGTGGCTTTATTCCAAACGAAGAGGCAAAGTCTTTTGTATGGTTGTTTAACAAATGGAATGAAGCAATGGGTCATCCTCCTTCAGGCATGATTACAGATCAATGTCTTGGCATATGCAAGGCAATTGAAACAGTTTTTCTAGAAATTCGGCACAGGTTTTGCATTTGGCATATCTTGGACAAAGTTCCGGAGAAGTTGGGTAAATTGGCTTATAGAACAAAATTTATGAAATCTTTCAAAGAAAATATTTGGGACTCCGAGACTGTTAGCTCTTTTGAAGAGAATTAGGTTTCAATTCTTAAAAAAATGGATTGGAAACACATGATTGGCTAAATGATATCTACAAAATTCGTAAAAAATGGGCTCCGGTTTATCATAAACAACACTTTTGGGCTGGAATGTCTAGTAGTCAAAGAAGTGAAGGGATGAATACATTGCTAAAAATACATGTCAAGAAAAAATTCACTTCATGATTTCGTTACCATCTTTCAGAGGGTCTTGGCGAGACAAAGAGAGGGGGAGCTTAAAGAAGATCATTACAATGTGGAGAAAAAGCCAAATCTGAAGACTTTGTGGTCAATAGAAAAACAAATGGCCTAAATCTACACGAAAAAAAATCTTTTATATATTTCAAGAAGAGCTTCAACCTAGCTTAATGTATAACATTGAGCTGGTAAAAGAAAATGAAAGAGAAAGTACCTTCCAATTGAATTTTTGTGGTCATGATGAAAGATTGAGACATATTATACATTGCAAAACAACTAAAATGATCCGTTGTTCGTGTCTCATGTTTGAATTCAAGGGCATTCCATGCCGACATATCTTGGCATATCTTAAAATTACCAATCATAGTGAGTTACCGGAGCAGTATATTCTAAGAAGATGGTGCCGAAATGTCAGAAAAAGGGTTGTTCTTAGAGATGGTAATATTATTGGAGAAAATGCTACAATTAATTTTGCTTCTCGTTTTAGTGAACTAAATTGCTTAGCTAATGAAATGGTCGAAGAGGGGCTATCTTCTAATGACGCATATGAATTAATGCGTGAAATGATGATGGATGCTATTAATAAGGTGCAACGTTTGAAACTCATCAATGATGAAGAAATTGAATAAGATGTAGAAGCACAATATAGTAATGTGGAGTGTTGTCAAGATATAGTTCATGAACCAAGTCAAGCAAGAACAAAAGGAAGGCCTAGAGGGAAGAGGTTAAAGCCATTGAGAGAGATCCGCAAATGCCGGCCTAGGAAATGCAAATTGTGTGGAAAGCGAGGGCAAAATCATGATAGCAAAAATTGCCCTCTAAAATTGTCGAGGTAGTGTATTATTTTTTTAGTAATACTAATGCTATTATTTTAAGCTTTTTTTAAGTTGGTGCAACTATGCAATGATCTTTAATGTGTTTTGCTATCATTAATTTTTTATAGTGATTCAATGGAACAAGATAATATTGATGAAGCCACTGATGATTTAGAAGATTCCTTTGAGGAAGGTAATGGTTAATACATACGGAATAACTTGTACATTTCCATTTTGTTGATGGATGTTATTTTTTTTAATGTGATGAAGCAATGATCTTTAATGTGATTTTTTTTAATACAGATGAAGTTCTCACTATTGCATGAAGTTTGATCAAGGTTGGCGGAGCAAATCATAGCACTATTGGTGAGAAGGGGTTGAAGTCGTTATTGTATTTTTGGGTTGAGTTTTTGTATCTTTTGTGTTGGTACGTTGATATCAGAATTTGTTGGTAATAGTCGTCATGTGTTGGAAGAAGATGGCTGAGTCGAAACAGTTTTTTGGGTTGAGTTTATGAATAACACTTGTTTACTGGTATGTACTCCTTTATTTACTGGTATGTAGCAGTTTTTATGTGCTCCTTTATTTACTGGTAATAGTCGCCGAACATGTAATTTTATGTCAGGCATTTGAGCGCAGTTGGGCATACATGTAATAAGGGGTCATTGTATAAACTTCTATGCATATTATGCTCTGTAAATTCTGTTTGTTCTATGCTCTGTATGTGCTCCTTTATTCAAAAGCTCTGTAAGCATATTATGCTCTGTAAATTCTGTTTGTTCTATGCTCTGTATGTGCTCCTTTATTCAAAAGCTCTGTAAATTCTTGTATATACATGAAATTGTCAGTACTGGGTCTAGAGTGGAATCTGGGTACATTACTGGTAATAGTGAAGTACCCGAGCATGAGACCTCAAGAGCCAATACCCTTGATTCAAAGACTGGCTTGAACTCAGAGATCACTGGTAAGAACTCCAATGACTCTGAGGAGTTGGTACTCTTCAGCAATGGGCAAGAGATCTCAAAACTCAATAACCTTGATTCAGAGACTGGCTTGAACTCAGAGGTTGCTGATATGAATAGCAGCATCTCAAGGGGAAGTACTGTGAAACCTAAAGGGAGAAACAAGAAATTGAAGGAGGCTGGTTCATTCGAGAAACTAAGATCAGACAGTATCGCTAGTAGACTGCGGAAGCGTGTAAAGGTTACTACTGACTGACTGGGCGAGAGATGTTCTGGATAGGGCAAGCGATATTTTGGACGCATCAGTTTGCAGGTCTATAGTCGGCAGACGTGGTGGAGCGGAATCATTTTGTAGGTTGCGGGTCTAATACGAGCCTGGGTATATGAAGCGTTGACGATGGCAAGTGATACTTTGGCTGCATCAGTTTGCAGGTATATAGTTAGCTGACATAGAGAAGCAGAGTTATTTTTGTAGGTTGCGGGTCTAGTACGGGCATGTCGAAACCCTTTCTTAAGCTCTGCAGCATGAATACATAATGAGTGTCATCGTTAAAAAAATTCAAACCACTGAAAGGAAACTGATGCCTCAAATAACTCCTGTAAAATTATTCACAACATTCTCATGTTAAGAAAATACAACAAACTCTCCATTCACTTGAATGTTCTTCTCATCATTCACAACATTCTCATGTTAAGAAAATACAACAAACTCAAAACATAGCATTCTCAGAAAATACAACAACAGACTTGAATGTTCTTCTCATCATTCACAACAAACTCGCAGCAAACTCAAAACAGCAAACTCAAGGCAACAAACACTTTTCAGCAAACTCAAATGTCATTAGGGAAACAATTTTTCAGCAAACTCAGAAAATACAACAAACTAATATGTTGCTCAGTCATTTGACTATAACACAGAACAACAATATCAGTACAACGATACTTAAAAATTTCAAATATAAAATTACATCATTCAATAATTTTTTCAATACCTCATCATTTTTTTCTAGCCTTTCCAGCCTTTTTGTGATGTTCTTGTTATCACCAACCCATTCGAAGAAGTTGCAACCCTTGCAATTAGGTCCCTTATATCTCGGGCATCCATAAAATTCCAAGCTGTTATTGTGTCCTTGCTTGCACATCCGTATTTTGCAAATTAACCCACAATAACATTTTCTTTGAACTAAACCCTCATCTTCTTCTCCACTGAACTCACACGAAAAGTTCTTCATCTTTTATCTGCAAAAAAGGTATACCAAACAGTACAAAAAGTATACGACATCTTTGAGGCTTAAATCTAAATACAGTGTCAAGCCAAGCTATAAATCAAAATTAAAAATGAAATAGTAGAGTTTACAGTGCAAAATAAGTTGCACGCGATGTCTTAAGATACAAAACAAGATGCAGAAAAATTCAGTAAGTTAACAGATATAATAGGCAGATAAAAAGCAATGACACCCCCTTTCCATTATGGCATTTGCTTTAAGTTGAAAACAAGGAAATATAATAGGCAGATATCCATCTTCTACCAACCAAAAATGAGAATAGAAAATAAACTATAAGAAAAGGATAGCCCCTTCATAGATACAAAAGATACCAGAAAACCCAATCAAGAATTACCTAAACAAATTTCGAACAGTGCTGTAGATATGCGGATGCAACGGTGCTGTATTCAAAAAAATCACCTGATCAACAAAACCCATCAAACAAAACCCACATATTTCCCATGAGTAACATACCAATTCCCCCATAAACACAAAATTTAACAATAAAAATCGAGTAGGATACATCACCTGAGGGATTGACCTTGTGCTTGTATCCGGTGGTGGGATTGACCTGCCACTCGACGAGCTCCTTATGGAGACGATTGCATGCGATCTTGCTTAGGGCCTGAAATCAATGGAGAAATCAAAGTAGGGTTTGAAATTTTTTGGGAGAGGAGAGAAAACCGATCATTACTTTGCGAGGTCGGAGGTTGGAGTCGGCTCACGTCCTGGGTCGGATCCGAAGTTGGAGGAGGAGGTCGGAGTCGGAGTTGGTCGGAGTCGGAGTTGGTCGGGGTCGGAGTTGGTCGGGGTCGGAGTTGGTCGAGGAGTTAGAGGAGTGGTTTCGTCGGCGTTGAAGCATGGGTTTCACGACGGAAGAAGGGCTCACGAGGGGCGGAGGAGAGGGAGGAGCGTTTTTTGAGGAGAAGAGAGGGAATTTGAAGCTGAACGAGAAGGAGACCGAGATTTAGGAAAGAGGGAGTCTTATTTGAAGGACACGGGAGTTTTTTTTGGGGTTTCTGAAACGACGCTGAAGCCTTGCTCGTTAAATCCAAGGCCAACGGACGTTTTCAAACATGTGCTTGCGAAAATTATTTCCCAGGAAAGATTTCTCTCTCTCCCTCTTCTCCAGTATATATAATAGCTATAATATAATATATAATATAGCTATATATTATATATAATTACTATATTTATATATATGGTGTCATATAGTATATAGTAGTTACTATATAGTATATACAGTATATTATATATATGATATATATAGATATATATATATAATATGATATAATATAGTATACATATATATATTATATTATATACACGCCACACACACACACACAACACACACACACACACACACATTAATATATAGTATTATATATAAATATATATATAATATATATACTATATAGTATATATATATATATATATATATAGTATTAATATTATATTTATAGCTATATATTTAATAATTATTATGTATGTATGGTATATATATAATATCATGTGTTGCGAGGATGATTGTAGAGCGTAAAGTTTAATACCCCCCACACTATAATAGTAATACTATATAATATATAGTATTATATAATATATGTATGATAATATAAATATAAATGTTAATTATATTATATATAGTTATATATTTATATATATATATATATATATATATAAATATATAATTTGATAGTAATATATATATATATATATCATGTGTTCCGAATGATTAGGAGCTAAGTGTTAATACCCCCATTCCAGCATTAAATATAAATATAACTATAGAAAATAATCATAAACACAAGCAATTTATAACCTATCATTTTACCTGCTCAAGTAGGTGAGGGTAGTCACGATGTATATCCTCTTCACACTCCCAAGAAGCTTCATCAGCTTCTTTCCGATTCCATTGAACTTTAACTAAATGTATCACTTTGTTTCTAAGTCTTTTGTCCTTCTTGGCAAGAATGCGAACTGGGATCTCAAAGATGGTCAAATCATCATGAAGCTCAATCTCCGGTGCATCCAATACTCATTACTGACCCTCGTTGTGTAAACACTTATTAAGCATCAAAACATTAAAAATGTCGTGTATACTCGACATCGATACTGGAAGATCTAGCCGATACAAAATGGCTCCAATGCACTCAACAATCCTAAACTGGCCAATATACATCGGGGCAAGCTTTCTTCATCTTCCAAATCTTTAAACTCCCTTCATCGGCGATACTTTCAATAAAACATAGTCCGTAACCTAGAACTCTAGCGGTCGCCACCTCTGATCTGCGTAGCTCTTTTACCGACTCTGCGCTGTAAGAGTACGTTCCTGAATTAGTGCTACTTTCTATGTAGTCTATCTCACAAGCTCCAGTCTAAGCAATAAGTTATCCTCTGGGTCTGCCCAACTAATAGGTGATCAATAAGGCCTTTCGTATAACGACTCATATGGTGTCATACCTATGGCCGCTTGATAACTGTTGTTATAAGCGAACTCAATCAATAGAATGTGACCCTCCCAACTACACTGGAAATCAATAATACATATTCGCAACATGTCTTCCAACACTTGGTTAACTTTTTCTGTCTGCCCATCTGATAATTGGCTGCCGAACGAGTTCTAGAAGCTCCTCCAGAAGTGTGAAGTGAAAACCGAGCCTTGATCTGATACAACCATCTCTGGAACTCCATGTAGTCTCATGATCTCTTGGATGAATTGTAAAACCCCGAAAATTTTGAAAATATTATTATAAATGATAATAAATGAGTTTTATTATGATTGAT